AACTGGCAGTTTTGCTTAATTCCATGAGATTTGGTGAGAAGAAGGTGATTTGAGCTCAAAATGCCATGTGGCAATCTTTGTAATGTGAGTTAATCGCCGTTTGTGTTAAGATGTTTCCTGTAACAATCTTGGTATAATTTGATTTCTACCAGGATTTGTCCAGCCTCAATTTTGTGCCTTCCATGTGTCATATCTGGATTGTTTTAAAGGTTGTGCAACAGTGTTTTGTATCCAAATCTAAGGCAACAAACTTTTTTTAATAATCTAAAAAGAAATAATTAGCCAGTTAAACGAGTAATTTTGTTAAATTTTTTTAAATAATCATTCATCGTTAATACAATAAGATTTGCTCTAATTTCAATATTAAAAGTTTATAAATAAATATATATATATAAATAAATATAAGGTTATAATATTATATATATATATAATAAATATAAGCTTTATGCAACAGCAAACTGACATATTTTTACCTACTACATAATCATGTCCCAACCATCAAAAAATCTTTCGTTCATTACATATAATAGAGAGTTATCAAGTGAAAGAGTGAGAATACGGTAACGTTATTTTGACAGCGGAGCATGCGCAGTATGAAATGTGAATAACGTAAATGATTTTAACGTTTACGGGCTCCGTTACCGTTCGTCGAATAGCGGGTTTGATATACGGTAACGTTAGCAGCGAATCGCACCAATTCGTCAAGACTAGGGACTCGGAGATTGGAGTTCGTTCTGTAATTTTATCTCTCATAGGTTAACACGTGTTTTCTGTTTTCTTGGTTAAGCATCTGCGAGACAAATAAAACATTTTATTATATTTCATTATATTTATCAATTATGAATACGGAAATAGTGAAAACGACAAAAAGGCTGCATTCTACAAGCACTGATGACCTTTTACTAGTAAAAGAAATGCGAGAAGTCAACTCTCTGGAATGTTCTGTTTTTCAAACCGAAAATACTATTTGGCTTGCTCAGGCTCTAAGCTATCCAAATTGAATACCGAATGTACATTTTGTATGTTATCATTTAAAATATGATTTAGTATTAAATCTTCTATAACTTCGTCATTTGCATCAACTAATATTGCTTGTTCTAAAATGTCTTTCATATTTCTGTAGAAAAAATTTGAAACCCAAAATGTACAAAACCGGACAAAATATATACCTTGAATGAAAGAAAACAAAAAAATTATTTATTTTTCTGTCACATTTGACATTTGACTGACAATTGCCAACTATTAACGTGAAGCACCAATTCGACTATTTGATAACTCTAAAATTACATATCCGTAAAACTTTATACCGTAAAAATTAGCGTTTACGTGTCAAAATAACGGAAGGATAATATTTTACTTGATAACTCCCTAATAGCTAATACAATAAAACTTCCACACCTTTTAGTCTGTTACCACCTTGTCAGATATTTATGTTCATGAACTTATAACTCAAAATTTTCACATTTACCAGGTACCAAATGTTGCTTTTGACATACAGGGTCTCTATATTCGAGTTACAAGTTAAATAACACGTGAACATTTACTACAAAAGTTTTATTTTATTCATTCAAGAACACTTCCAATTCTAAATAAATACATTTAGACCCAACCATTAACATTAAAATTTCTAGAATTCAACCTTCCACATGTGTCTAGTTTATATTTTCTGGGTACCAAATGTTTAAGAAACACAAAGGGCCATATAATAAAAATTTTTCTATATTACATTGCTACATACATGCTTAGTTGGTTGCCTAACTACAACCATACAATTTTTCTTCCTTATATCATCTTATTTACATAAATTTAAAACTACAACATTGACGGTTGATACTGTTATATTAGTTTACTTAATTTTCATAATTTTAAATAACGTTGGCTTTTGTCTTAAGTAGAAACATACAGTTATATTGACTGCTCTGTGATAATTTCCGTCATAACTTAACAATATTGTCATCAAATGTCATTGCCAATCAGTTGCACTCATACAGTCCTCGAAGACATACCGTCTCAGGACTAGCAACTTCAACGTGGAGTCATATGTCGCCATGTTACCTAATCCATCGGTAACTCTATCATCTTATATTATTATAAAGTATTTTTAAAACTAAATGCAATTAAACATCTGTTAACGGGTTTTTACCTATATATTTAATCTTGGTGGCTATATTCATGTACTCCTAGTAAGTATTAACCACACTTTATATTAACCTTAGTCAAAATTTTAAACCTACGTTCTTTTTAATTAAGTGGTTAACTATTTTCTAGGACACTGATGATGGAATATGGATTCCGAAAACGTTATGTCTTTTTAACTTAGCCCGTTTGGGCCTTAAATATATAACTTTTACTAAGGATTTTTAATTAAATTTTTGACATATTTTAGTTTTTTTTAATAAAATTAACCTTTGATAATTTATTAATAATTCAGAGAAATTGAGTAGTTTCATTTCAACATATAACAGTAAGTACTTTTCTGTCATTTAGTACATAACCATAGTTTTAATTCTGTTTTATAAGAAGATGCAACTGAATGTATTGTTTCTTGGTAGATTTAAATATATTTTTTTGTAATAACTGTTTATGTAAAATAAAAATAAAAATGTAATTTTTTTCTTTAAGTTTAAAATTATTTTTTTAAGATATTCGCCCTTAATTAATTCTCCCAGTTCTCCAAAAAAAAAGTAATCGTTATCCACGACCTAGATTTCGAACCTAAACACGAGTAGCCGTTCGCAAACGTTTCAATTTATTTCCTTACCCTATCTCAAAGCCCAGTGATTGTTCCGTCCACCCTTTTACCCACTCTAAGCAAAATACTAATTTTTACAATATATATACACATATATATATATATATATATATATTATAATATATATATATATAATATATATACATATATATATATATATATATATATATACATATATATATATATATATAATATATATATATATATATATATATATATATATAGCCTGGGTAATAATCTATCTTCAGGACATTACCTAAGATGGAGTGAGAAACACATGTTTAAAAAGAGAGAGGTATATTAGGTCTGACCTTTATATCGTCGAAAATGCATTAGTGGAAATAATAAATTCATCAGAAGGGAGAAAGTTCAATGTTGTCAAACTTATTGGTTTTATTTGACCTGTTGTCGTTTTAGTATTTGAACAATATTCTAAGATAATCAAATTTGGGCGAATTGATTAAAATGGCAGCTTATTCTTTTTAATCGAAAAATGTCACAATTTAACTTTATAATAAGTTTAATTTAACATTTTGATTTCCACTTCGGAAATCTTTTTTACATAAATAAAATTAATTTATTAATGTTTCGCATTTTAAGTACGATTTACGAATTGGAAATTTAAATATCTAAATAAACTTATTTTAAAGTCACTTTGTGTCTTATTCCCAATAAAATTAATAAACTGCATTATGACGCCACACTAAAAAAGCTTCCTACAAAATTATTTGGCGACGTCGAGTCGTCCAAGTAACAGCACTTTGATTTTATTACTGTGGTAATGAGCAGAACATAACTAGTTTGGTATGTCATGCGTATTGCATGGGTTCGTGGGTTGGTATTTTTTAAAGCGTAATAAATAAAGACAGTACTAGTATAGTTTTTGAAGGTAATAGGTGTGAAAATAAAAATTAGTTTCATAAAAATGAAACAAATAAAGATAAAATCAGCATAAAAGTATAAAATTTGTTCTATAAAAATGAAATCAAATAAAAAATAATTCCAACACAACTGTTTAAATTAACAATAATTCCAAACAATTATAAATTCTCAACCAAATAAAATTCTTAGGTAAATAAATGTTCAAAGAGACCACCAAATTGTAACGAACAGTAACCAAATCTATTATACAACGCATTTCTCATGGCGATAAAGTTCATCTGCCGATATGTTTTGGCTTCGTTGGATTATCTTTTCCTTCAGTTCTTCCAAGTTAGTGGCTGGCTCGAACTCATGCCTGTACAATTTCGTTTTTGTCATCCCCCAAAAATCAAAATCTAGACGAGCTAAGTCGGGTGACTGAGGGGGCCATTTTATTGTACCGTCTGTACTAATGCATTATATGCAGGACAGCCATCTTGTTGAAACCAAATTTTGTTGAAGTTAATTTGAAGACGTTGAAGTGCAGGAATAATTTGATTTTGCAGTAAATGGAGATATTTAACTGCGTTTAAATGGCCTTTAATTAAAAAAGGACCAAAATTCTTCCAAAATTCCAGTCCAAACATTCAACTTTCGCGGATACCGCGTACGGACAGACACACACAAATGCTTATTCTCCTGAGAACAATACAACGGATGAATTATGTTTCTTGTGAATTGTGAATGAGGACCCATCTGTAAACAAAATATTTTTCAAAAAATTACCAGTTGTATGGCATCTCTCCATCATAATTTCACAAAATTGCACCCGTTTAAATTGATCATCAGAAAATATTTCTTGAGTTGTCTGCACTTTATAACAATTATAGCTGTTTTCTTTTCAAAATATTCTTCACTGTTTTTGCATTTAAATCAACTTGATCCGCAGTTTGTTTACCTGAATACGGCGTCGCTACAGCCAATGCACACACTTGAATTTCTTTAATTTCTCGTTCTTGAGAAGTTTTCGTTTCGTTTCGAGAAATATGAGTGTTATCTTTGTTTATTCGCTGAAAATATAATTTTATATCATAAACTTTTACCTACACCGTATATATATAATATATATATATATATATATATATATATATATATGTATATATATATATATATATATTTATATATATATATATATAATATATATATATATATATATATATATATATATATATATGGTGTAAGTAAAAGTTGTATACATAATATATACATAGGATATTAATATTAAATAAATTCAATTTTAGTTTACATTATTTTATTTAAAACCATTGTTATATAAAATGTGATTTTTAATTATAGGAACTACGTTTTGGGAATAATTATTTCTGGATCAGAAGTTTCCACTTTTAGCTTCACAAACATCGGGTTTATTATCTTTTAATAATTCGCAAATAGTAGCAACAAAATCGGCGGTGGCAGCATTTTGCAAATCCGCGTCATAAACACCATTAAATCGTATATCTGGTACGAATGCTAGTGGAGGATTCATTTTTGATTGTCTCTCGGAGTATGATAGCAAAAGTTCGTCTGCACGGGATCCTTCTACACAAACTTGAAGTTCATCAAAAGAAATAGAACCTCTAGAGCACTGTAAATATGGATGTTATAAAATAATTAATATAGATAGAACTTAATAAAAGTGCAGTACTTAACTGAACGTACAATATTAAAATTAATCACCCTCAAACATTCAGTTTCAAGTTATTTTCATTTTTAAATTTTATATTCATTCAATTGTTTTTAAAATTTATAATTTTTGAGTTATTTTCGAGTGAAAATGTTTTCACTCGAAAATAACCATTTTTCAAAATAAAAATCACGTTTTCAGACGGTTTGTTAAAAAAACAAAAAGAATGGTGTACTTATGAAGTTTGGTCATACAAAACCTTGCAGTTTTAACAGTATTGTAAAGGACAATAAATTAAATACTAATCCCAACAATCTACTTTAACATTGGAGAAACTATACACAGCACCTATACTGAGACACCACTAGAAGAAACTCTAAAAGTGAATATAAAAGTGAACCCTCTCCCAAAATATTGAAGTCAGAAGTTGTAAGGGCAATCAAACAGAGCAAATGGGGAAACGCATAAGGCCAAAACGACATGTACATATAGAGGTTCTAACAATGTTGAGTGAAGACAATATAGACGCCTTCTTGGTAGATCTTTTTAATGGCATTTATGGATCCGATCAAATACCACAGGATTGGCTTCAATCAACCTATACACCTATGCCAAACAAGCCAAACGCTAATAGTTGCGACCAATTCCGAATGATCAGCCTATTGAGCCAGGTCCTAAAACTCTTCTTAAAGATAATTCACACAAGAATACAAAACATATGTAAAAGAGACATTAGCCCCACACAGTTTGGTTTCAGACAAGGATTTTGCACATGAGAAGCACTGTATAGCTTAACTGCCCTACTTTAGAAATGCAGAGAGCAACAAAAATATGTTTTTCTATGCTTTATAGATTACAAGTAAGCGTTCGATTGTGTTAATCATTCAGATTTAGTAAGATTGCTCCAGGAACCAAGTGGCATCTGTGAGAGTAGAACTGGAATCTACATCATATTTCTGAATCGAAAAGGTGTACGACAGGGTTGTGTTTTGTCACTCCTTCTTTTTAATCTTTACTCTGAAACGATTTCGATAGAGCCTTAAGTAGTCTGTCCGTTAATTAGTAGTAATCCGTAGTAATCTTCGCTATGCTAATAATACAGTCATAATAGCTGACAGCTAAGAAGCGCTACAACGACTAATAGATAGAATAAACACTGAAGGAGAACAACTGGGCTTAAATATTAATATAATACAAGACGAAGGTAATGGTGGTTAGGAGAACACGAAATATGGAATTAAATATAAGAGTAAGCAATAATAACATCCAAAAGGTCCCCAAGTTTAAATATCTCGGTAGTTGGATAACGGAAAATCTAGATCCAGATCTAGATCTAGAAATAGAGATACGTAGCAAGATTGAGCAAGCCAGAACAGCATTTACTAATATGAGAACCTTGCTAAGCAACAGCAGCCTTAACTTAACGCTTCGATATCGCTTTGAAAAATGTAACATTTACTTAATACTGCTATATGGTGTAGAAACACGACCATAAAAGCCAATGTAATGAACCAATTGGAGGCCTTTGAAATGAAGGTAGTTAGAAGACTACTTAAAATTCTCTGAACAGATCACACAACAAAGGTCAAAGTATTAAATCGAATGGACAAAGAACGAGAATTGCTGCCAATAATAAAAAGAAGAAAACCTGCTTATCTGGGTTATATTTTTCGAAATTCCAAGTACCAGTTCTTAAAGTTTATTATGGATGGGAAGATATAATAGAAGTAAACGAGAATAAATACTCATGGCTTAAAAACATAAGGGGTTTGACAAACCTCGATGCCCATGCACCCTTTAGAGCCACACAAGATTGAGAGGAGTATGCAAGAATTGTCGCCAACATCCACTAATTAGATAGGACACCATAAGAAGAAGATAAAGTCTGTAGACTTAGCCGAAGCACAGTTTTAGCTCATGAAATGTAGGTTCTTATTTGTCAAATTACAAATCAAATATTTCAACATAAAATAAAAAATTAAGCACTTTTCGAACTCATTAAAACTTTTTGAGTGTTTAAAAATAATTATTTTTGTTTTTTTTCTAAGGGTAAGCCTAGCGCTTGTTAGAGACCCGATCCATGATACCAGACGAGACATAGACAAAATGAATTTAGTGTCATTGCAATTGCACCTTAAGCGAAGTAATACAATTCATCCAACACTGTAGAATTTTTTCGATAAACTTACAAACGTCCGAGCAGAAACAGACTCTAACCTTACTACGAGAAAACAAATCAAAACGTTTCAAAATTTGTCACTTTAACAGCGGCCAAATAAGAAAGAAAAACCACAAACAGAAACAGTTAGTTTATAACTTTTCAAATCTGACATTGGATGAAGCCACGATTAGTGTTCTCTCAAAAGGTTTCAATTTTGCTCTTGCACCTGCATGAATTCCCGTAGAAAATATCAGTATTAAGGTTAAGATACTATTACTAATCTCCCAACAGAAAAAGCCGAAATCACACGCCAAGATGTATCAAAAATATTGAGAACACCAAGAAGAAATTTACCTCACGAAAAAAAAGATGTCTTACATTTTTTAAAGAACAACAAAGAAATCATTGTGCTCTTAGCTGACAAAGGCAATGCCACGTTAGTAATGAATATCCAAGACTACAAAGCAAAAATAAACGACATCCTAAACGATACGACATATCAGAGAATCTCGTCGCCATAACATATCTAGAAAAAGTAATAAAAGCTAAGATTAAAGCCTCAGATATCAAGAAAGAACATAAGTTACCTAGAAAGAAGTCGCCAAGATATCCAATAGTTAGTTCTATCGGATCTTCTTGACAACCACTGGCAAAATTTCTGGCTGAAAAGCTACAACTACATGCCGAAGAAGCGGATTCTTATGTCGAGAATGCAAGTCAGTTCATTGAACGTATAAAAGATGTGACTCTTGAGCCGAGATATTTGTTAGTTAGCTTCCCTTAAATCCAAGACACATAATAAAGGTCCATACGTTAATCACAATAATTTAATTCACTATTGTTTTTTACTCTACTCTACTCACAGCCTGGCGTCACATACCTCGACCCCCCTGAGCAATGTTATATCTTCTTTTCATTGTATCATTGTATCATGATTTGTGGTATGTGTTTATACTTTATAGTCTTCAACTGAATAGGTTGAGGAGGGGAGAACTGTTTGTCTCAAGTAAGTCATTCAGAATTATGTCAGAATTAAAAAGATGACTTAAGGCCTTTATTTTGGATGTAAAGAATTTGACATTCGTCATTAAAAAATGTCTATGATCTAGAAGGTGAAGTGCATAATATATAGAATCTGTTTTTTTATTATTATTGAAAGCCCTTTTATGTTCTGCTATAGCAGAACCTAACCGATCCAGTAAAGACTATGTGTAAACACATAACTCAAATAGATCACTTGAGAAAAGCACGCTGCCAAAACAGCTGGAAGAAGAAGAATAATCAATTTCATCAATAAAATCATAACAATTTATAATCAATTGTGTGGAAGTTTTGAAAACAAACATTTTCAGTGATTTATTGTTATAGAAAAAATTTAATATAGGAAGAAAACTAATAATATTGATGACAGACATTCTAAAAAAGATGAGTGAGGTATTAAATCAAATAGAACATGCTGCACGAAATAGTGGTCTTAAAAATTAATGACGCTAAAACAAAATATATGTATGCAAGTAAAGACGTAGAAATAAGGCAGCTTCAAAATCTAGCAATAGGAGAACATATCACTAAGGAGGCAACACAAGGAACCACATCGTAGATGTGGTTTCACTTTTTACAAATGTTGCTATAGATAAATCATTATAAATTATGAGCAGAAAGTATCCAATTTCACAAGATACTCTAAATCTAATAAAGCATTGCTTGACTAACACATATTTTATCTAAAAGGAGCAAAGATATAAACAAGTTGAAGGAGGAACAATGGGTTCACCACTGTTACGGGTAATAGCAAACCTGTTTATGCAAGAAATAGAACCGAGAAAAATTAGCTACAGCCGAACACAAACCCGAACTTTGGCTTAGATACGTGGATAATAGTTTTATAATCTGGACACATGAAGAAGATAAATTAAAGGTATTTCTAGAATACATCAATAATATACACCATAAAATCCAGTTTACTATGGAACTGGAAGAAAACGAACAACTACCATTATAAATATGGTAATAATAAAGAAGAAAGGCAAGCACATAGGACAAATTACTACTTCTTCTTCTTCTTTTGGTGCCCATTAATGAAAACCCTGAGGACAAGATGCGAAAAACTGACAGATGAAGAAAATAAAAACAAACAAATGCATAATGTGAAAACTGCCCTAAAAAAAAACGGATTTTCAACATACATACCACTGAAAACGCTTATAATTATTACTATTTAGTTACTCTATTTACACTCGCTTATTACTGCTCACATTCAATTTAGTTTAACACCGCCTTGCAAAAATAATTTCGTAACGTATGCCACTACAAATTTCTTTGATGTAAATTCAGTTTTATCCCAGATAAACTGGCAAACTATTTTTCCTAATCACTCTGATCCATCGTCAATGTGGGACTCTTTTCTTCATACTGCTATTACAACAATTTCTGATCATACAACCGAACGGCAGGTATATAGAAATCGACTAAAACCTTGGATTAACCTCTCAGCTACTCATTTAATTCGACATAAGCGAAAGCTTTGGCGAAGATATAAACTCACTGGTTCCCCTGATGATTTTCTCGCTCACCGTAATTTTTCTAACCGAGTCAAACAATCTTTGCTAAAGTTAAGAACAGAATTTGAGGAATCTATCATTGCAAGTGGTAATAGTAAAAAAGTTTATCGGTACATTCGTACATCTTTATCTTCTAAAGTCTCCATACCATTGCTTCAAAAAGCTGATGGGTCTTTATGTTCTTCGAATAACGAATCTTCGGAATGTTTATCGTTATTCTTTTCTCAAGTTTTTACAGA